CATCTCAAATGAATAGATGCTTCCCAGATGAAGTAAAAACAGGAAACAAGTGTATGAAACAAATGTTCAACATCACTGGCAATTCAAGAGATGCAAATTCAAAGGTGAGATTTCATCTCACTCGAGGAAGAATTGTGTTTATCCAGAAATCAACCAATAACAAATGCTGGCGGGATTGTGAGGGATAAAAGAGCACTTCTTCACTGTTGGTGTGGGCATAAATTGGTACAATCAATGTGGAAATCAGTTCTTCAAAAAACTAAGAGATTCTTCAATGTGGAAATCAGTTCTTCAAAAAACTAAGAGATTCTTCAAAAAACTAAGACTAGACTTTCCATTTGACCCAGCTATTCCCATTCTTGGTATCATCCTGAATGAATTAAAAGGATCATAATTAATATCTATAGCAGCACAATTTATAATAGCTAAATCTTGGTAACTGCTCAAATACATAGCAGTGATGAATGTATAAAGATGTGGTTTTATATACAATGAAGTTCTTCATCTACTATGAAGAGGAATAAACTTGAAATATTTCTAGGTAAATAAATGCACTTTGAGACCATCCTTTTAAGTGAAATAAATTGGACACCCATGTTTGAATATCATATATATTCCTCTTTTTTGAGAACCTGAAAGGGTAAATAAGGATCAAAATGGTTGGCAAATACTAGGAAGTAGGAAGAAAATATTCAAATAGGGGCTGGGGATTTTGCTCAGTGGCAGAAGTGCCTGCCTGGCAAGCGTGAGGTCATGAGTTTGATCCCCAGTACTGAAAAAAAAAAAAAAAAACTCAAATGGGAAGGGAAACAATGTGGGAGTGTTTGAAAGTAAATAAAGGGAGAATAGAAGAAAAAAAATGAAAACAAAACTTTGTAAATAGGGGGATAAGAGAGAGGGGAACTGAATGGAGAAAAAAGAACAATCTGGATATGCTATATAAAGGTGCAAATTCCCTATGATGAATATGATCATTATGTAAATCAAAAGTGTACCAATAAAATAATTAAAGAATGTGATGGAAGAATGGAGAAAAGAAAAAAGGGAGAAGGAAAAAACATATATACACATAAGATAGTGAAGATAGTTACACAGCTAATATCTCTTAGTTCATTGTAAAGAAAAGTTTGTGCTAATATTGTCTGGACAATATTTTATGTCGGCATCTTGTACTCTAAACAACTATCATGAATATAAGAATATGCAACACATTAATTATTGTTACTCTGCTATTAGCCTGTTTTGAAACTGTTTTATTGTTATTTTTATTTTTTCCTCTTTAAAATGAAAAAAAGATAAAAGAGGCCCAGAGTGCTACCTCTTATTAGTACTATGGAAGGGCACAGAAACAGGCAAGCTCACCCAGTGCTTTGATCTTCAATTTCTCAATCTCTAAAACGGAGAATCTATTTTTTCTGTTTATGGCAGTCAGTCAATGGCATTTTCTGATAGCAGACTAAGATACCATGCCACTGGATTGCTGTATAATTTAAGTAAATTAATATATGTAAATGTGCTTGAACAGTTCCTGGCACATGGTAAATGCTTATTGTCAGCTGCCATTATTCTCACTACCATCCTTACAAAAAATTATCACTATTCCCCCATCACTCATTACCACCTATAACCCATTAGCACATCTACCATTATTAACCACTGCTGCCCTTGATGACTCCAATCCCACTATGACTAATACCCATCTGTCATATTTAACTATAATTATATCTATCATTTAGTACCCACTATCACAACACTCATGACCACTCACCACTACCTACCACAAACACATTCACTATCCATCATCACTTACCACCACCATTATCCACCATCACCCCAGGGAACATCTCATCAACTGCTACCAGTAGCTAACACTGCCCACTGTCATTCACTATCACCCACCATGGACACCCTCTTCACCTGCCATGATGTGCTTAGCAGCTTCATCTTTCACCAGTGAGCGAGGAGCTGTTCTGCTGAGCAGAGGCCATGAAAATAGCCAGAATATCTTAATTATCTTCCGGACACAGGATGTATGCAGAGCTTCTTTAAGATACCAAGAATCTATTTATTAGAGTCTCCCCATTTCAAAAGCTCTAACGCTTATAAAGATTGTCTAACATAACTGCAGGCATATGTCTCTAGCTCTAAATTTTCCATGGGTTATTTAAGCCTTACAGCCATTCTTCCAGGTATATATTATTAATGTTATTGATTTACATATAAAAATGAAACAAAGCTCAGAAAATATTATTAACTTTCTTACATGAAAGCCAATTTTGAACGCAAGATACTTCACTTTCCAGCTGAAACTCCTAAATCACGTGATTAAGCCACACTGTCTTTCTCTGTAGGTAATCAAAAATACTTTTTGCTACTCTGCTTTATCTTCTTCATGTTCTTCTCTGTGACAATCTATAAGCAACCATTTCAGCTACAAAAGGTCTGAACATCTATTCAGTTTCCATCTGTTGACTGATCTCTACCTTAGTAACCACATTAGAGGCATCTCTGGATATTGTACCTTGTAAAAGCAATATGACTTGCTGCAAACAAAGCTAACTGTAATTCATTCCAAGCTATGTTACTTTTCTTGTTGAGACAAGATACCCAACACTTAAGGTGAAAGAAGGAAAGGTTTATTTAGTTTACATTTTGTAGAGGTTCCAGTCCATAATCAACTGACTCTAAGGCAGAGTGATAGGGCAGAGGGGCAACTGTTCATGGCAGCTAATGATATCAAAAGCAACAAGAGAAGAGGGACAAGACTCTTTCTGTCTTTTATGTTGTACACAGGCTACACAAACTAAGGCAGATGTAGCACTCATACCCTTAATCCCAGCATTGCATTATGAATCAATCACACACTCTAGATTTAGCTACCTCCAAAGGCTATGGAGGAACATCCAGACACAGACCATAACACAAGTCACTTTCTCCTTATTATATACTTATTTCTTTTTTTCTTATCCTCAACTGTGAATGTGAGCTAGAATGTGAACTTTGCTTCTTTTTTTCGTCAACTTACCCAGGCTCAGTCATCTCATCATGGCTCCTGTGGTCCTATAAATTCTGCCTCTGTAATTTCATTCAAATGTATGTCCTCTGGTCCTTTGTACCATTACCATTATAATTCATCCCAACCTAAGCACAGAGGAACCTTTTTTGTACTCCTCAGTCCCCCTCTTGTTATAAAGTCTTCCCAGTACTCTCCACACCAGATCAGCACTAACCTCAGCTTCAGGTGTATGTCCTCCTGATTATAGTCATCTACCAAACTTTTCAACTTCTTTTACTGCTGCCATCCAAATAACCACCTGATAGACTGACAAATCACTGTTTCCTGGGACAGCACAATCTAGCTATCAGATCACTGACCTTGCTGTATAAGTGTGTCACCTCTCTGGAAACGACTCTTCAAAGCTTATCTGTGACATACCTCCTCCGTGGAGCCTTTCCTGATCTTTATAGGATGTGAGTTTCCCTTTTTTCCTCCCTGCCTTATTTTACTCACTTAAAAAAGGAAAAATGGTGATTTCTTTCTGTGCATATTTCTTTGACAGACAATACATTTTTTGAAAGCAGCAGCCAACATTCTCCGTCAAAACACAAAAATGACCTTTATATTTTAGAGATAAAATAAACTTTAAGTTAAAATGGATGTTCCCATTAATGGGCTAATTTGTTAGTTTGCTGTATTATAAAATTGTACTATAGGGAATGTGTCTCATAAAAGACAAAATAACTTGAAAATAGTGGAGGTAGACTAACATTTTAGCCTAAAGTTTAGTTCAACAAGATTGTGCCCAGCCAACAAAAGTAAGTGGGTACTTATGTGCATTTTCATTGAAATTTAGATGATCCAGGTAGGACCATACCTAGACTCTTTTATCTTCAAACCTATGTCAACTTACAAAGCTACTGACCGTCCTTGACTGTGAAGGTGGACAAGAGGAATAAATCTCATTCTGCTTTGATCTGGTTTGCCGGTTACACAGTCTATTTACAAAAGAACTATGAATTCTTCAAATTCATTCCACACACAAAATATCCTCTGTTTACAGCTATAATAATTTTGTCTTAATTCTGGAATATGATTATTTGAGTAGGAAGTGAAACGAACCATTAAAGGACACTCTGAAACTGGCTTGAGAGAAGAAAATGGAGTTTAGCAAAACTGATAAATGTACAGGCGGCTACAATAAAAAAGGCACAGAAAAAAAGCAAAAAAGAGTTATATATGTATTTTATATATATATACATATACATATATATACAGCTTACTCTCCTGTTTCATACTAGAGAGGGTAATATTTGAATGATTTCTGTTCTCTTGAATTTTCCCTTGTCCTCACTGGATAATAGACCTTAAAATGACTGTGTTTGCCTGGGACTCACCCAGGGAACTTCTTAATCAACTCTTTTTTTAAAGGGAATAAAAAAAATACAGAATTTCAAAAACAATAGGAAATTAACACTAGTTAATATATTACATATTGTTAGCTTAAAACTAGTTGTTTGGATTGTAAGATTTAGGCATGAAAAATGATCAAACAATCAAATGATGAAAACTGAAACTATTCTTTTTGATGAACTAACAGAAATTAGTAATCTAGTTATCTAGCTCATATATATATGGGAATACTTTCTTACCAAGATAGACATGATCCTATGTCTATCAAGAATTTGTTGTAATCCTGACTCACTCATATTTGTATTACAGTTATGATCCTTCTCTCTTTTTTCAGGTTGGGATTCTAAGATAATAAATTCAATTGTACTGATTAAGTGAGCTCTAAAGGGATTGTAGCTAATATAAGATCATGTCAGTTATTTAAAGTCTAAGAATTTATCTCAGCATAGTCACATACCATTATTATATTTCCATGACCTTTTCTTCTATTACCCACTGATGGGAAACAATGAAATAATTCATTTTTCCTTGCATGTATCCATGAGTATGCCATCCTGGACATTAAAGGCATGGAAAATGTGGGACTCACTGTTCACAAAGACGGCAAACCTCAGGAAGGACAGGTAGCGCTCCCCTTCAATGGGATTCCAGCCAACGTCTGGGTATCCTTTGGCCAGAAGCATAGGGCAGCTCTGTAGGCCACAGCCTGCCAAGTAGGTCACCACCTGCCAAGAACAGTACAAATGTCCATACAGACCCATTAGGACGGCCACTATACAACAAATAGAGAAAGAGCAAAGTGCTAGTGTGGACATGGACAAGCTGGAAGCTTGGGCACAGTTAACGGGAATGTAAAATGGTGCAGCCACTGTGGAAAGCAATATGGTGGATCCTCAAAAAATAAAAATGGAATTGCTAAGTATTTCAGTAATTCCATTTCTGGGGATACACTCCAAAGATGAAAAGCAGAGTTTCAGAGACTTGCTACAAATATGCTGCCATATTAATAGCAGCATTAGTTACAATACCTAAAATGTGCAAGCATCCTGAGTGTCTGTCAATGGGAGAATGGGTAAGTAAAATGTGGTACATACATAAAATTAAATACTATTCAGGCTTTAAAAGGAAATTCTGACATATATTACACCATGGGTGCACCTTGAAGACATATCCTAAGTAAAATAAACCAGTCATAAAAAAGACAGATACTATATGATTCTACTTTTATGAGGTAATTAAGAGTAGTCATATTCATAAAGACAGAAAGTAAAATGAAGTTTCCAGGGGTTCAGACAATTTTATAAGGTGGAAAGGATTTTGGAGTTTTACAAAATGCAAAGTGCTATGAGGATGGATGGTGACATGGTTGCATGATATTATAAAAACGTTTAGTAGCACTGAATTGTACACTTAAAATGACCAAGATGGTAGATTTTGTGTTGTGCATTTTATCACTAGAACTGTAACAAACTGTTGATAGGCATCTTGATAGACATCTCTGTAAAAAGTGGTTCCCTTATTCTACGTAATATTCAATACATTGTTGTGGGAAAACTATAGAATTTTGATAGAGCAGAAATTTATTTATTTTAGAAAAAATAAACCACACATACATTTGTTTTTTTTTTGTCTTTTTCGGTACCAGGGATCGAACTCACGACTGCCTGCTTGCAAGGCAGGCGCTTACGCTGCTGAGCTAAATCCCCAGCCCTGCCATACATACATTTTTAAGGCAAGAAAACACCCAAAATTTTAACACAACAGCTACAAAGACATACTTCTGGGAAATACAGGGCTTTCACTCCTCTGAAGGTAGGGAAAGCCTAAGACTTCTAATAAAATTAATTCAGTAGATCTGTAATCAGAACCTCCAAATCATTTTTGTTACCAACTAATCAACAAAATTGATTTTTATTGTTATGTAGGAGTAACCTGACAGTTTCCAGGCTTTTCTGGCTCAGGAAACGGGTTAAAAATCAGCCTCAGCAGGGTACATACATGGGAGCATAATGGTGAGGAGAAGAACCCTTTATGGGACCGAGACTGGCCCTGCTCATTCGGTGACACCATCGTGAGGCCAAGGTGTTAGGAGGCTGACTGAGTGAGGGCTTGTGTTATCAGGGTCCTCACTCTGCTTTGCATTAGTAAGACCTGTCCAAAGTCCAAAGTCCAAAGTCAAGGTGTTTAGGCTGGGTGGCTGAAAAATAAGCCAGTTATAAAGGGAAATTGATAGTCTTCTTTTTGCTTCCAGGTTACCAGATATTGTTACAAGACCCCAGCCTCAGATCCCATAAGGATTTTAGATTCTCCCTACTTTTCACAGGAGTTAAGCAAAAACACTTGCAAAATACCTTTGTTAAAAAGTAAGTGATATTTGGATTTGTATACAGACAGAAGAGAAGAATTCACTGTATTCAAAACTCTCCCAAATTAGGAAAGGTGTCTTTTTTTTTCTTTTTTTGGTGCTAGGGACCAAATCCAGGGCCTCATGCATACTGGGAATTGCTCTACCCTGAGCCACATCCCTTTGGTAGCTCTGTCTCTTTTATTTCTTAATCCCAAGGGTCTTGCACACAGAAGGTGCTCAGTAAGTTTAAGTGAGTGACATATTTGCTGATGTCAAACACTGTTATTTCACAGGAAAAATAAACAAAGGAAAAATTCAATAAGAATCTATCATCACACATCTTCCTTCATAAACCAGTAAAGGACACTATTCTGCTTAAAGCTCAGATTTGCATATGTCATAAAAATGTCAGGGAAATGTCAGGAGGAGCCACGATTAGGTAGAATTTTTCATGGTTCCAAGTACAGAGAATTTCACTGGGCAGGAAAATAAATGTGCACATGTGTGTTGTGTCTGGAATAGGGTGGCTGTTCAATCCTAACAGTCGTAATTTCTCCTTTGATCAATAGAGGGAAGAACTCTAGAATCTACCAATTCTTTGCATATTAACCTGGATTTCCCAACACCAGAACAAGTAAGTTGTGTGGTACTGCGCTGAGCCAGCTCCACCCTTGCAAAGTCATGCCCCTTTCCAGATGTCCCTGCCAGCCCTGCCTGTCCCACTCTTTGCTTGCTTGCCTCCACTCACCATGAATTTACACCCTCCAACTGAGGCTCAGCATCTTCATTTCAGAAGATGAACTGAGGCTGAGTACTGGTTCTGCCTTGTCGTAGGGACCCATTAGCTGCTTTTCACAAAACACTGAGTTTTTCCTTGTCATTTCAAAGCAAGAATAATACAATTTGACTGTAGTCTGTTCCCCAAGAAGCAGAGATTATGTGAAGACATAGCATTAGCATTTAGGAAACAGCTGTCACGCCAGAAGCCACTCTAGTGTGTGTCTCAGTCCTGAGTTGTGTGTCAGGGCCAGGTGGTGCCCCTTCAGCGCTGGCCTATGGGGTCTAGAGGGGCAACTTCTAAAATTTCCCTCTTGTAATATCACTGACTACTCTCGCAGCCCTTTAGAGTTAACCTTTAGTTACACTGCACTGGGATTTGGCAGAACTTTAAACAGAGGCTTACTTCATTTTGCCTTTGTTTGATAAAATCATACTTTACAAGCTCAATAAATAAAATTTCCCCTCATTTCAACTTTTAACTTAATGGTTTATTAGAGACTCAATTAGCTTCAACAGTAATGTTTACTTGATCTGACAAAATAAATGCTTTACCTACATTGTGTCTCCCTATTACCATTTTAAAAATATGTCTTTAATATTACAAAAAAGACTAAAAAAGCAAAATAAAATGGCCGGCTCAAAGACAAAAACCCTCTTTTACGTACTGAATTATGTCCTCTTCAATTTATATCCTATGCACTAATTCCTAGTACTTCATTTCCAGTGCTCCTTTGAGATGAGGCCTTTATAGAGGTGATTACGTGAAGCTGATGAGGGGCGTCCTTACAGGAAGAGGAAGCTTGGGTACACAAAGACACCCCAGAGAGGCTTACACACAAAGACCGGTGAGGACCCAGAAATCAGCACCCTCTGCAAGCCAAGAAAGGAGGCTTCAGAAGACACTGAACCTTCTTAATCTTCAATTTCCTTATCTTGGATTTCCAGTTTCTGGAACTGTGAGAAAATAAATTTCTGGTGTGTAAGTCACCTGGTATGTAGAGCTTTTTACAGCTTCATAAATGTAGGCAATTTTTTGCTTCAAAATGGGGGTCTCAGTAATTACTAGTTAAATGCATTTCTGACAAAATTTACTATCTCAAAAACTTCAACTGGGGGGGGGGATTGTTTCATCTTACAGATCTGACAAGCTCTGCAGTGTGGCCAGGGGTTCTCTGCCAGGTGAGCCCAACAGGATGCTCCTGAGTGGGACCGCGTTGCCTGTGTGTCTGTCTCAGCTAGATGAGGCAGCCCACTATGGGAATTGTTTAGTCAAGAGACTTTGACTTCTCCCTCTTCTGTCTCCTCAGCTTATCTTCTCTATGCTGCCTCACAGACACGATTCAGAAGGAAGAAAACAAACTATATAAAGTTCTCTCTTAGCTCCTCATACACATTTTCTGTAACTTTCTCATCTCTCTCTGGCTTCTCCTCCTCCTGTGTTTTTGTGGGTGCACCTTCCTGTGATTCGCTTGTGTGCTCTGGTCTTCAAGATTCTCACCTAGCTGCTTCCCTTCTTGCCCCAGCTTGGCCGCCTGAGTGATCCCATCTGCACCCAGAGCCTCCACCACCATGGAGTCAACTTCCCCCTTGACACTGCCAGTTTAGCCTTCCAACATGATGCAACCAAAAGACAGCCCATCCACCTGCCTCAACTCTGCTCCAGAGAAAAAATGAGCCACCCCAGTAACTGAGTCCCTAGAGAAAAAAATGAGCCAGCCCAGTAACTGATTAATGGTTTCTGTTTGTCCTCTTGGAGGCCCTGTGAATTCAAATGCTTCCCACAATCACTGGGTCAATATGAACTGAAGCCAGCAGCGTCCTGTGCTTCTCATACTGCAGATAACTCTTAGTTCTTCTTGATGGAAGTCTTCTCTTTCAGTAACTTTTTCTTACTGAGGCTAGGTGTGTCCTCTAAAGCACAAATTATATTGTTGCTCATCTGCCTGAAGCCCTCTGACAGTCTCCATTGCCCTTGGCTCTCTAGTGTGGTCCTACAGTATAATGGGCATGTGTATGCCCCCTGCAGCTAAGCTCGTTCTATTATGGACTCTGTCACTCACTCCCTGACACTGAGCATGTCACCTACTGCCTGTGACTCTATTTCCTTGCCCATAACTAGGGGCAATAAAAATAAAAAAGTGACTCATTCTGACAGTCACAGGAGTCAACCCACGGGACACATTCAGTGCAGCCTGGTATGCAGTGGTTCTTCTAGGTGAGTGTGAACTTCTCTTATTAATAAAGTCAACTCCCTACCACTCCTTCTCCTTTCCCACCATTCTCTCAGGCATCATGTGCTTTGGTCAAACTCAGTTTTCTGGTTCTTCACTATGCAGCAGTCTCCTTGCTGAGCCCAAACATTTTTGGTCCTTTCCCAGAAATATGCAACCTCACCTCGTCTACATCATCACTTCTTCTGAGTGGTCTTCCTGAACACCTTCCTGAACACAGTGTTAGGTGTCTTTCTTTTTCCTGCTCCCCCATGCACGACGGATAGGGCCTGGATGGCCTTTGACTTGTACAGCTTCCCTTCCCCTGTCCCAGCTTGTGCTCCTCCGCACTTAGAAAGTGCATTGGTAATCCTGCCAGCCACCTAGATAAGGAAATGCCTCTCTGGGAAGGATGGGGAGGGACAGATGGATCTGCCCCCAGTTACCACCACCATGAGAAGCTCTATTCATCACCCTGAGAGAAGGCAGCTCAGTTTGTCTCATTCATTCATGGCAAGGATATTGATTATACAATTTCTTTCAGGTCTTTTCTTTCATAAGAGACATTATGAATGACATGATCAAGAACTTTATTAGGAGCCACAGAGATCTGGTGATGTTTGTGCAGCCTAGCGAGGCTGGAACTCCACATAAAGAGAACCCTGGTATCCACACACTCACTTCTATGCACTGGCTAACCTTGCCTCCAGGAGATCCTTTGGTCCTCATGATCTTACTGCTGACAATGAGTCGCATTCTATCACATTTTTGCTGAGAGCCCACCAAGATGAAGATGAAAACTCAGAATCTGGCCTGCTTTTTCCCTGGTCAGCCACACTGCAGGCAGACGAGAATAGCACATTGCCTCCCCAAGGCTGGTTACCTTCTCAAGGTCGGGTTCTTCTAGTCCCAGTGCTAATTCGTTGTTGTCCATGACAGAGGAGGCAGCCACGTCCAATGGGGTGGACCCCCTCATCGATGGGGAGGCTAGAGGAGGAGAGAAGGAACAGAAGCCACAGAGAAAAAAGCCACACCGGTCCGAACTGGGATTGATGTGCACAAGAGTGGTCAGGAGAGGGCAGCAAATCCACTGCAACTGGGTCCACACAGCAGTCCTCCAATTTGCTATCCGTGCTCCCTACACTCGTAACTGATTGTGAATGTGGATTAATAGGAAATCAGTCCACAAGGTGAGCTGTAAATATGTATTGCCAAGAGCCCAACAAAATTTGGGGACTCTTTCATCTGATGATTCACTCAAGAGATTAATTTTTCTCCAACAGGTAAATCCAAAATAGCTTCAAATAGTCCTATTTTATATAGTTACCTTAGGTCATTGATGCAGCCTTTGAGTTTTTTTTAAATAAGTTTAATTTGGCTCATAGGCTAGAAGCAAGAAGTATTTTGGGTGGAATTTCACAAAAACATTGGTTACATTTGATCAATAAAAAAGAGATTTTGGATTTCAAGAGCATGTACTTGTGTATTCTACAGATTCATTGCTTTTCATCTGGAACAGCAAAAGATTCATTGCTTTTCATCTGGAACAGCAAGAGAGACGGGTTAAGCTGCTTTCTTCCTGGTGCTGATGGATTCACTCAGTTTATCTCTAGTTGCTATTGGCCAGGTTGCCTTGCAGCTAAGGAATGCAGTTGCTGGTTGGATGACGGGACAGGTATGAACTTTGGAGCCATCCTGCCAAGAGGGACCAGATCAATGATGCTGGCCTTACTTGCTGTGTACCCTGGTCAGCTGTCCTGGGAGAAATATGTCTCCGGAATGCATCACCTAACCCAGTCAGCATTTCATAAACCACAGGCCACTCATCCCAAAGGAGAGGAGAGAAAACTGTATGACTAGGCCAATACAATCTGTCACTGATGTGATGAGCAACATCTCTATTTGGGCTGGAGAGTAAAGACATGTTTTTATGCACTGATATTTAAAACAGGCAGCATTTTTTTAAAATTTAAAAATGCAATAAGCACACAGGTGGATTCTTTTTCTTTAGCTCTTAAACGATCAGTAGGGGGCATGTAACCCCTGAGTCACATGGAAATTATAACATACATACCTAGGCCCACACTGCTGTTCTCTAGCAGGTAACTCAGATGCTCAAACATCGCCTTCTGATTTTGCCGGCTAATTCGACAGAAATAACAAAGGAAGCGGCAACAGCTAGCAACCATCTTTGGGAAAGCAATCTGCCGAGAGAAAGAGGAGGTGTCAGAGAAGAGGATGTACAGACTTCTGAAAAGTCTGATCTTAGAGTCTTAGGTGGAACTCTTGCAAACTATAAAGTTTGGAAAATGGATTTTCTCCTCACCTCCTGTTTTCTGCAGGATTTATTCACAGGACGGACAGAGAGTGGAAGACATTTAAGAAAAGGCTTCCAAAAATGCTGACAGCTAGCTATAGCTCTTAAAATATTTTTTCTTCAAAGGAAAACAGACATCACTCATGAATCCCAGTGTGCATGTGTCATCCTATATTAGGGTATCACATGAAATCATATGACCTTGTGTCAAACTACTGTTATTCTTAGCAAGGATAGGAGCAGACAGAACTTGGATGGGAAATATCAGAGAGATGGGTGAACACAGAAAATGAGGCCCATCAGTATATTAAAACCAGGGTTTCCTGGGTCATGCCTGGCCTCTGCAGCCTGAGGGCCATCAGGATGTCTCTGTGAGCACCCCCATTACTCTGTCCTTCATAGTTACTCCCCTGTGGGACCCTATAGCACTCATGAGTGCAGGTGTATGATTCACTATGGGAATATCATCCTATATTAGTATTGATTATGCTTGATTTTTCTACTTAGCAAAAAAATTAGCATCTCTAGCCTAGGCCATGTCTTATTTTTTCAGCCAATAATGTTCAATAAAGTGTGTCAGTGTTAACTTTACCCAGGATCCTAGAAAAACCTTGATTTTCCTCTTTAGAATCATAGCGGATGCCCTAAGAAATATGATTCTGAAACCTATTGTCATCTGCTTGCTAAAGGATACAGACATGTGCTCAGGGATATTCCTTCAAGAGACCAGAGGAAGCCAGTGAAAAGGAATGAGAGCTGGTGAAAGTGCACGGGAATAACTCATTCCTAAGCTGTGGCATGTTGGAATTTCTAACATCTAACCAGCTAGCCATCTAACTCCAGTGCCTCAGACAAGTTGAGATAAATGCCTAGCTGTGTTCTGTGCACATTCCTTTCCCCTTGCCAATGGACACAACCCCCGTCTTTATGGGGGAGCTAGTAAGAAAACCTGGTTATGTCAGTGGGTTGGCTGACCGAGGAAACGTGAACATTCTTGAGGAACACTGCTACGGTCACTATTGAGATTTTGTTCTGTAGAATAGTATGTTCCTGACCAGTGCAAAGCATACTGGGTTCCTAAGTAGAATCCTGAGTTCTTCCCTCTAGGAAAGAGCAGGGTTGCAGGATACAGGAAGTAAAATCAGTAGCTGAACAGAAAAGAGAGATAAGTGGGCTTTCAGAATCAGAGCTCTGACATACCTGGACTTCACTCAACAACACTGTCCTTTCCTTGTGAAAAAGGACAATGGACACCAAACCTAAGGTTCTGACCAAGTCACTTTATGTGCCTCCCCCAGAGTCAAGTTCTGGCCAAGTCCTCTTTATAGTCTTACCTGTGATTTTTCTGTACCCAGCACGTTCACCATCACCTCCATCACTGTCTCATGCATGCCCAGAACTCTCATGAGGTTGGGGTGCTGGTAAAACACCTTGTTGTTCATGATGTCCCTAGGATAACAGACAGAGACTTTAGTACCCACTATAAAAATTCAAAGATGAGAACATACAAACACTTTGGGGAGGAAGTAATGTAAAAGTGGAAACTAAGAAGTTAATAAGAAGGCGTTAAGTCAGTTGGAATACATGTGGACTACCTTTTTAGCTCATAGGAATATACCTATGCTCCTTTACCCCTAACTACTTGTTTTCTCTTTTTTAAATGTTAATAACGTTTAAACAGTTGCCTTTTAGTTTACTTGTAATGTTTTTTTTTTTTTTCTTTTTTTATCAGTACCGGGGATCGAACTCATGACTGTCTGCTTGCAAGGCAGGCGCTTATGCTGCTGAGCTAAATCCCTAGCCCCTACTTGTAATGTTTTTTGAGCTGGTCCAAATCACTGGTTTGTTCTTCCTCCATTTACTAAGGTTTTTTTTTTTTTTTTTTTTACTTCTCCTTTTGTCCTTATAGTGATGTCTCTCTGTACTTCTATTCTTAATGACAGAGCTGTGTTCTTTTACTTAAAGCATTTTTATATTTGGTACCATGAAGATTGTAGACACCCGTATTACAATGCCGAAGATGTTAACATATAAGAACAGTTAGGTCTTTGGGTCATTCAGTATACATTCACATAATGAAGCTGCAGACACAGATTTTAAGACTTAAGAACCTCCTGTTAAATGGCCAGGTCACCTTTCCTGGGCAGTCATCTTCGCTGAGGGGCTGAACAGACACCACCTGCAACCACCAGGTTTTACTGTTGCCGTTTTACTGCACAGGCTTGAGTGGGATTTATTCTGAATTTTTTTCCTGTAAAAGTGTTTTCATTTCTAAGATTTCTCTTTAGAAACTAGGTGGAGAATGTACATATCCAAACCCCCTTTCATGCTTCAGGGTCTTCAAAATACCTTTCCTGAGGCTTGGCGAGGCTCCTGTGGATTTTTGGCTTAAGGGCAGTAAGGATGAAATATTGCTTTTGATTTTAGTTGTGTAGATTTGTGGACTGGTAAGTGAACCTTTTTAGGTCTTGATTTTTTCATCCACAGAATGGAGTTCTGTACCTCAAGATTAAAGAAAATATTTCTGATGTCTAAAATGCTATGCATTGTTTTGATTACATAGTTTCTAAGACAGAGCCAGATATCACACAGACTAACAAAAATTATTCTATAAGAAAAAAGAAAGAATATATGAAGAAAGGACTAGGAAGCAATTTTTCAGAGAGAACTCCCAGAAGATAGCTGGTCAAATCTCAAATAGTCAATTGCTTCTGCCATGGTTTGCATATCCTATTCCTTTCTCTAGATTTTTTCATGGCCTCTCTTGGGCTCTCTTCATAAGACTCAAAATAATGCCTCTCTTTTCCAAGACTTCTCCACATTCCTTTGGGCAATACTCTCTAATCATGAGTAAGCTGGTGCCTCAGCTTACAAATACTCCTTTGGTGGTAAGATTTCTCACAAGAGGGGATTGCAGGCTCAGTCTTCTACTGGAAGCTTTCTGCGTCTCCTATGAAGGACCTACCCCAGCCCATTGATCATGAGCAGCTCCTCTTCCTTGCCCATCCTGACACTGAGCAGCGACCGGATCTGGCCCAGGGCAGCCAGCAGGTTAATGGTGTCGCTCACAGAGGCCTGGCTGATGGTGTAGGTCTTCCGCAACGCCTGCAGGAGCTCCCCAATGCTGTCATACTGCCTCCGGAGCAAGTTGAACATCATGCGGACCAGCTCTGCATCCTGGATCTGGTCTTCCTGGGCCCAGTGGATCATTGTCTGTGACACCAGTTCCTTCAGTGTTGCTGAAAAGAGAAAAGGTGGGACTGTTGATGTGGCTGTCATGACTCAGAACTGGGTGTCACAAACATATCATAGTCCACTATCAAACACATCACAAGGTGAATAGGGTTAAAAAATTCTTGAGGGGGGTGTGACATGCACAGAAGCAGAACACGTCATCGAAAGATGGATACGACAGCCACACTACTCAACATGAATATTCCTAGTATAATTTGAGAGTGCTTAGATTTCTATTTTGATTAAACAATGTTTGAATTGACGTTGGAAAGAGAATAATAAATAAGACTGTCTCTGCCTTTAGGGAGTTCACAAGTCAGTTCTTTACATTTTTACTTGATAATAAAATTTTATCTTTATTCTATAATACAGTAAAATAAATACTGCAATGCAGGTACTTGTAAGTGCCATGAAGCAGAGTAGGGAGTGATTGATTTCTGGTGGGTGAATGAATGAAAGAAAAACATTGACTGTGCTTCCTTAAGAGTACAAATTAACCACTGGAATTTCTCACCACAGGTAGTAACGCCAAGTATTTTAGAAATATCACTGATTAAAGAAAGCCATTGGCTCAAGGATTACAAAAGATTTTTTAACTGACTTGAACATAAAAATACATTAGGAGATGGATAGAAGTGTATTACAGAGCTCTCTGTCAAGTGTGAAAGCTTGGATTTGACATCTGACCATCACTTGTGCGATTGATTTCTTTGCCTGGATCTTTGACAGAAGTTAGCTACTTTAGTAAGCACAGAGAGAAAGAAAGTATTCTGACTTTGAATTCAGAAGTTACCTGGGTTCATACTGGCTACAATGAAACATGGCGAGCTACACAAGAAAGGATCACAGAAGCGAGACTCAAAACAGCTATGGGACCTTCAGAGACTGCATTAAAAGGCTCTGAGCATTGCTGCCTGGCCTTGGAGTGGGAAGATGATTCAAGGAGAGGCACATCTGAGCAGGAGAACACAGTGGAAGGGAACCCTGCTGGAACAGCTGGGAAGGCAGTGCTCACCCCACCATGCCACACACACTTCCAGAATGTGCAATGACAGGGGCAGGAAGTGCTGCTCTCAAAGCACGACTGTGTTCAGGTCTGGAGCTATCACCTTCCTGAAAAGGAGGAATGGTGCTGTCAGCTTCATTCAGACCAGTGATTAAACTAGTGATAAGGGGCCAATTACATTGCTGAGTCCATCAGTAAAAGAACCAGGGAAAAACCCTCAGACTGGTGCTTGTGCCAAGGTTTCTACTCTACATTACTATATATGGCAGATGTCTGCTCTACATAGTCTTGGCTCATTATAAGGATATAAAAATAGAACTCAGTCACTAACGCTCTGGAAGAGATTGACATGTAAAGGATTCATTTAGCTTACTGCTGTGTCTATCAACTCTGTGAGTGTTGGAGGATCAGAAGGGACACATAAGTTGAAAAGCTAAAAAAAAAAAAAAAAAAAAAGATACCCAAGTCAGCTAGAGGCACAGTAAGATGTTCCTAGGAGATCTCTCTAGGCAGGGACTGCTGACTAGTACGTAGGTAATATCTGTACCCTCTGGGGGTGAAGTAAACCCGGTTCCTCTCAGCAAACTTGTTCTTTCAGATATAAAAGTTCTTATTTCTCCAAATTAATACAATAAGAATAAAAATGAGATGGTAGCCACACATTCCAGTACTCCAAGCAAGCTTTACTAGCCCTGTAAATACAAGTTCCCTTAAAAGTTAGGTTTTCACCAAGAATGACCAAATCTTCCACAGAGCTAATACACCTCACTGCAATCACTAGAACTTGGGAGAACCCGTGATTATTAATCATTTCCAGGACCACTGTCTCTTCAGCAGGGAATTTTGTGAAGTCACAATGAAATTAAATATTAGCCTTCCCTTAGCCTAGTTTTCAGATTAATCCAGGATTTGAGTGAACTCTTAGCTTTGCACAAACTCAGAAATCCAAGCCAAAATCTGTGGCCTAAAGGGATGGGTTCTGTACAGAAAACCCCTGACTGGATGGAAGGCAAATGCCAAGACGCCTTTTAGCTGAAGTGCAGAGCAAGACCTGCGATCCCCACATCGGTTCCCCAGTTCTTTGTCCATGCTAGCCTTGGTGGTGAGAAGGAGATAAAGGGCTAAACAATACACCTTTGTGGCCAAACTCATGATTGGCTAAAAATAAAATGGAGCCCCCAGGGTTTGGCAGAAAAGGAGAAAGCATCTCTGATGCACAGGCGGGTGTAACTCAGTGAAAAGCAGCACATTTAATACCATTCATGTTGGACAGTTTTAACTGTGAGAAAGCAAGGTCTGGTGAGGGAAACAATAGCAACAAGAAGAAAGAAAACTACAGGGGAAAGAAAGAACATTCTTAAGATCCCTGAAAAGCACAGCATATTGTGCGGTCTGACATATGCTAGAGACAGCAAACACAAGCAAACCTGGGCTGAATCAATGAATTGTAGTCTAAATACTTTGGGATTGAAAACAAGCCAGCCAGCCAGCCAGTCCACCTGCCATCCATCCATCCTTCCATCCATCCGTTCATCCAGAGATGTTGGGGACTAAATCCAGAGAACCACAGATGCTAGGCAAATACTCGACCACTGAGTTATATTCCTAGACCATAAATGGAGCTCTATACCCCTGCTCTTGGAAATGCTTTAGATTTTACTTAGTGTCCATGTACTGGTAGCACAGTAGCCAAAATATACTAGGGTTGAGAGATTAAAGAGAGTATGTTTCTTTGGAATGTGTTAGGCTCTCCATGTATCTGTATGTTGAGAATTAATTAATACAGGTAACAATGTATGGCATGTATTGTAGGCTTAAAATGAAAGTTAACTATAGATACCAATAGTTATAAAAGTATAATCTACACACTCAGGAGGCTCATGGTTCTTTAGGTAGTTTGCAAGGTCAAGTTGTATCTTCATAATAATCTGAAGATGTTATGTGCCTTTCTCACTGTGCTGAATTTTCTTGGATGGCACAAAAGCAATGGCTGATAAGACTGCTGTGCCTTAGTGTGAACCAAGGTAGCAGCACTCAACTGTGTCCTTTGCTGCCACATTTTTGGAAAGATGCTCAGCTTCAAATAGGGAAGCCCTGAGTAAAGCAGTGAAAAATATTAATAATAAACTTTTGAGCTTGCAATTGTTAGAGTATGCTCGGATGGCCCCCACTTAAGCCTCATGTAATCACAGATGGGGCTGAGTCTGGCGCTCGTGATTGGTTTGTTGTCTGGCACTGGGATTGGTGGTGTGAGTGCTACACTCACCAGGGGTGGAGCTGGGATACAGGGTAAGGGTGGGGGTGGCGTGGGGTGGGGGAAGACGTGGCTTCTCTCTCTTCCTAGTAGGTGCTTGCTGTTTTGCAGCAGATGAATGGCTGCCCCCCCAGCCATGGCATCCCACCTTGCAACCAGCTGAGTATGGATTGAAACCTTCAAGAACTGCAAGAAATAAATCTTTCCTCCCCTAATTTTGGGTGTCAGGTATTTTGTCTCAGCAATGAGAAAAAGTAACCAAAACAGTAACTTTTAAATGTCCTGTGTGACAGAACAGCGAGTATGCATAAGGTACCTCAGCTGCCTATCAACACACAGGGGCTTTTCCTTAGAAAAAACACTACTGTGACTGAGTTGTGAGCTAAACTAGCCTCTTGTTTCATGGAATGCAATTTTTTACTAAAAGCATGCCAAGCTGTGATGAATCAGACTCATGTAACTACCATTTCCTCATAATGGAAAAACAGCCCCAAGTCTTTTATTGCATATGACAGTATTTATTGCCAATAATGAGATTTGAGCTTTCCAATAAAACCTAAAATTTTGGAATTTATTTGCTACTGTGAGCATTGATAGCTTAACAGAAAGACTCTTCTGATTAAATTGTTACTATTAAGAGGTCTAACTGAAATATTTTGTAATGAAATGTGTCAACATTTAGAGCCTCTGCATAATCATTGAACTAATAATTTTCCAATGATCAATGCATGTTTGCAACTGCAATATGCAACATGTAGATAAAAGAGCCAATCAATATGTAAAGTCATGGGTTTTTATGTAACAAACATTTCTTTAATACAATTTTAGATTCTCCATTCCAACCAACTTTTGAGAATCCATTACTTACTCGATTTTAATATAGCAGAAAGCATAGCTGCTGTTGCATTAGATAGGCTAAGAAAGTCCTCCTCATCCATCACTATGGATTTTAAGGCCAAGTTTCTTTCTATTCTTTGACCAAATATAAACATTGTTGCCTTCTATTTAGTCAGACACTGAAGAGATATATAAAAATGTAAAACAATATCACTATTCCAGTTTGGGTGAAAATTCAGTTGTTTCTCATAAAAGTACCTTGTTTAAATGGATCAACAAAAATTCACAGTGCATCATTTTAAATTTCTAATTTGGTAAACACTGGTGGATATAACTATACAAATTAAAGCTTTTGGGGTTCTTCAGTGAATTTTAAGAGTGAAAAGAGACAAAACACTGAGAGCCACTGATCTATACACAAGGTCCATGCTAAGATGAGGTCTTGACTGGCAAGCAAAGCTTTCCCTCCTGCTAAGGTGAGCCTTTCCACTAAGTGTGTGATACTAATCAAGTCACCGAGACCTGAACCCAGAAGGTACAGTTAGAAAGCTGACTGTGTTTGTCTCTGGATGTGAGGTGGATTAAAAGGAAGTGTAAGAAGGGTAAGGTGTCTCACACTGAGAAATAGAGTGAGGATTAAAGAGTCAATTTAAAAACTGAATTCTGGTAGTCAAGGGCTCTGGCCACTATTCCTTTGGCACTGAAGGGCTCTCTGCTAGCCTGCAGGGTTCCAAGTGGTTCCCTCTTGTTTAATTTGGGCTCAAGATCACTGTCATAAGAGAATTGAGGCAGTGAGCATTTTATTGAGGTGACTTGGCCCCCTCTAGCCTGCATTGAGCCAGCACAGGACCCACTGAGAACACCATGGCTGCAGGTGGAGAGGGAAGTCCGTAATCCTTTGCTCCTGA